AGCGGGCACCCTCTGATATGATTTTAAGTTCTTTGATGTCTGATAACTGATCCCTTCTACACCTCGTGGTCAGACAGGCTGGTGTGCTTCCTCCGTATGGGCTTTGATGCTTCTTAGCTAGATGGCCGCTTGTTTGTCTTCAAGCCTTTAAGACCCTGGATGCTGTATCTTATGGTAGTTGGGCACCATCAGCTTTCTTCACCACCTTTGCTTATGTTCACATTTTTCTTCAGCAATCGTTTTGGGAAGGTGTGCATCCTGGAATGCCAATTTAATAGAACAATGTGTTCTTGCAATGAGTAAGTGCTTGAGTGGAGACCCAATGTCCATCTACTGCCTTAATACTAAACCTATAAATATATGCACATAGCTGTTTCCCCACACTCTTATATAAATATATTTACAAATGTACATTCCAGTCTTAAAACCTCTATACATACCCTTTGTCCCCTAGTTCTTTCCTCTATTTCCCTTTACTTTCCTCTTGTCCCACTATCATGCTCAGCCTTCATTAGGGTTTCAGTGATTTCTCTCGGTTGCATTGCCCTTGTTGAATCCCTACCAGGCCTCTCGCACCCTCCTTGCCACTGTTTTTGGATCACTTGTTGCTCCCCTGTCCCTGGGTTGGTCAGCACCACCTCCTTACCCCTGACTTCCCCTTTCCCGTGTCCCCCTGGAACCGTTGGTCCCATTGTTTTCTCCTCCAGACTATTCATCCAGTCTATCTTATCTAGATAAATCTGTAGCGACAATAATATGCATAAAAAACCAAGCCATAGCAAGATAGGCGATCAGTGAGAATACAGCACTGGCAACAAAAAAGGAAACCAATTATCCATAGAAGAATACATTAATTAAAAGAAAAAAAGTTTAAGCAGGAAGGAAAACCTGTAAATAGATCAAGGTCTGATTTTTGATCTCTAGGCCTGTCCTTCAGTCAGGACCGATGGGGTACCATGCTCTGGGGCTCTGTGCTTTGCTCCCACGATTGTTCTGCCACACGCCCTTTGTGGTTTACCTCGGTGTCTCAGGGTCAGTCTGGGCCAGTCCTGACACTGAGTCTCCAGTGTTGTCCCTCTTAGAGCACGGGGCCATCAAGGGACCGCATATCTCATGGTGGGATCAGCCATATTGTCCACTCTGTCCACTGGCTGCTCAGAGCGGGGATGGTGGGTCAGGATGTGCTCCACTCCCTCTTCCTCCCCCTAAGTGCTCCCATTTGCTCTGATCAGACATTCCCCTCTCCCCTAGCTGCAGCTTCATTGCCATCCTCTCATGTAGCTTCTTCTTGCGGGGAGGGGCTGTTTTCCACGTAGCTGGCATGGGCCCGAGCCCTCAGGTCCCTCCACTGGCTCCCTACTCCTTGCCAACAAGCTGCATTCGTCTGGCACTGGCTTTAAATCTGGTCCCTCTTTCCATGTAGATACACAAACAATACCCTCCCCTTGGGTGGTTATTGATTAATTGTGTTCTAGATTTCTATTGGTCTTACCAGTGGGGAATACCAACACACTCTTAAGATCTCCTGGGAATTTGGGACGTAACACAAAGTTGAAATGAATGTCACCTTCTGGTTATTTGGCACTCTCCCCACCCCACCTTTGCATCATGTGTTTGTTGATTGAAGTGAAAAATGCAAGGGAAAAATATATAGTGCTTCAACAAAAGTATAGAGTTTTAAGACATGAATAGATAAATATTACAAGTTATGTTATATCTAACTTTTTATACCTTTGGACAGAATGAACATTATTATGGGAGCTTAGAATATGCTGTTGCACAGATGAAAGTTACAAAAGAATAAGGAAAGTAAATTTGTGATTTCTACTTTGGGTGGGGGACAGTCGCCTACCTTAGAGAGAACCCTAATTACACGTGCCATTTTAACAACCAGTTTGTAGAACTCAATGAAAATTTTTTTATGGATTCTGCCTAACTGGTGTGAACTGGCTGAGTCTCACAACTTGGTGTAATCCATACCGAAGTCTGTAGTTTTACATATTCATTCGTTAGTTCTTCAAGTCCTTTTTGCTTCAGTAAGCAAGGTTATGTCATCTGCATAGTGCACTCTTCCTGAGCTGTTAACTGCAAGGGCAGCAGTTCAAAACCACTAGTGGTTCTGCAGGAGAAAGATGAAGTTTTCTATTCTCATACAGTTACAGTCTCATAAGTACATAAGGGAAGTTCTACCCTGTCCTATAGGGTTGCCATAAGGCAGAAACAATTTCATGGCAGTGAGTTTGGATTGTATTTTTTCCCTAATCCTGATGCTACATTCTTCCTATAGTTTAGTCTCAGATTATTTGCTCAATATGACGATCGATTTAGTATAGTGAAAAGACACAGTACTTATACACATATTTTCTGATTTTAAACCATGTTTAAATAAAATCCTCATTTCAAAACATTTCATTATACAGAGCCTCTTGGTCTATGTACAGGCTCTGTATAATGAAATGTTCTGAAATTCTTACTTAGGAATGTTATCCATAGTTTATTAGGATTCACCATGTCTAATGCCTTTGTATAGTCAATAAAACACAAGTAAATGTCTTTTGCTAAGATCTGACATCAACAGTCATATCCCTAGTTCCATGTCATCTTCTGTATTGACTTGGATTTCTGGAAATTTCCTTTCAGTGTACTGCTGCAAGAATTCTTAAATTGTCTTTGGGAAAAATTACTTGCACGTGGTAATAGCAGCAATATCTGATCATTTCTGCATACCCATACAAGTGTAAATCAAAATGTACTGCCACTAGGGTTTAGGTAACATAAAGGGTCAATGAAATTGATGAAGACCTTCAGTGAGATGGAGTAAGTGGCTGTAATAATGGTGACATATAGTCAATTTACGTGGTCCTTCTAGCCATAATTTGCTATGTGATATATTATAATTCTGGACTCTATACTGCGTGTATAGTCTATATTTTATAGGGAGGTCTGTACTACTGACAGGATTAAGATTGGGTTAAGTTTTGACCTTTGTAGACAACCTGAACCAAGAAACACCCTTTGTTTCTGGGAGTATTTTTAGATTCCACTAGAAGATATACTTTAAGACATCATCCTTCATTTTTCTTGAAGATAATGGTTGTCTAAAAGGCAAAAACCATGTTTCCACAAAAGCCATTCCTTGATGTATGAGAGACATATCAGACACAGAGAGAAAGTCTACCACCATCAGAAAAGTGCAGTCCACATCTCTGTCTGAAGTAGCAGGGGCTGAGACCAGAGGCATCAGAGACTATGGCATGGAGACTCTGAGCCAGAGCAAGAGGAGCAGCTTTGACCCTATACAACTGTGAGACAGAGGAACAAATGGGTTTCTTGGTACATGGAGGCAGAGGCTATGGGACCATAAGACGGAGAGACTGAAGACCAGAGAGACACTTGGCTGCTGGCTGAGGAGAGATGCTGCTGTATCCTTACTATTTACTGATCCTGCCTTTTGGTAATTTACTAAATTTCCTTATAAATCCCCTTAATTTTGAGTATTGCGTGTGAGTTATGTGTAGCCATTACAACAACAGATCAAACCCAGCATAGATGTAGAGTGGCATTGAAGAAATGGTTGGTGCTAGAATAGGTTACAAAGTACATAGCATTGAGGCATGTCTGACCCTGGCCTCATGGTAACAGAGAAACTAAGGAAGCTGCAGGAGGTCAGATGTGGCCTCTCATGTCCTTTGTGACAAATGGGTTCAAATAGAACTATTGGGAGGATGGTATAGGAATGAGTACTGATTTATTCTGTTGTATGTGGTGCCACAATAAGCTTGAACCAACTTGATGGTGTCCAAAATCAACAGTAATTATCATAGCTTTTCTCAAAGAACAAAGGATAGTCAGGAGGCTTATTAGGACGTCATTTTTAAAAACTGGAAAACTACATTATTGAGAAAGAGTGCAGCAAAGTTTTACTGAGGAAAATTTTTAAACTATAGGAAGGCATCTGCTCCATCTTCCAGGATAGTAAGGCCTCTTCTACAAGAATTTTGGTGAGAAACCTTATCCATTTGCTGTTCTTGTTGTTAGGTGCCATCAAATCCATTCTGGCCCATACTGACCTTATGCACAACAGAACAAAACACTGCTGTAGTGCACCGTCCTCAAAATTGTTCCTATGCTTGAACCCATTGTTGCTGCTACTGTCTTAATCCATCCAGTTGATGGTCTGCCTCTTCTTTGCTGTCTGTCTACTTTACCAAGCTTGATGTACTTCTTCAGGTACTGGTCTTTTCAGTAGGTAAGACAGAGTCTCATCATTTATGCCTCTAAAGAGCACTTTGGCTGTACTTCCAAATAGATTTGGTTGTCCTTTTGGCAGTCCATGGTATTTCAACATTCTTCACTGGCACTACAATTCAAATGCATCAGTTCTTCTTCGGTCTTCCTTATTCAAAGTCCAACTTCCACATGAATGTGATGTAATGGAAAATACCATGGCTTGGGTCAAGTGCACTTCAGTCCTCAAAGTAAAATCCTTGCTTCTCAATATTCAAAAGGGTCTTGTTCAGCAGATTAACCCTGACTGCTGCTTCCATGAGCCTTGATTGTGGAGCCCAGCAAGACAGATCCTTGAGAACTTCAAACTTTCCTCCATTTATTGATCCAATTGTGAGGATGCTAGTCTCCTTTACATTGACTTGTTATCTTGCATTGACTTATTGGCTGCAACTTTTTTTTTTACTGAGAAATGAAGTATTTGAATTTTTTAATGAGGATTTCTTGATTAGCAGTATTGGGTTTTGTGTTATTTTACCATCAACTTCCTTATGCATTAGGTAAGCAACCATTAAAACAATAGGTCAATGACCAAGTATTAATGTAAACTATATCAATGATTTCAGGAAATGTGCTTTTAGAATGGACTTGAGGATGCCCAGGAAGAGCTGCTCATAAAACTCAGCAGGCCTGAAAAGATGCAATCAGACCTCAAAAGGACCAGTTATTAGTTTGTATTAAGCGATTAGGAAAATCTTCCACTGTTGACATGTTCATTTTCTTACTTTTTCAATCAAATAATCAGCTCTTATAAACCAGTAGGAATTGATTCTATAAACCTAATTTGATCTGAAGCCAAGCTGATTCACTAGTGCTAGAACATGAAATGGAACAGAATGGTGGAAACCCATCCTCACATTTTTTAAGTCAGTGAAATTATTCCTTTGCAGGATGGCTTTTCCAACAGCTAACAGGTTCTCAACCCATTCTATATGAGCCTTCTCTAGATCTTTTCAGTTTCCGATAGGCTTCTTTGGCACTACTAGATAATGATGAGGTGCTGCTGGTTTGATATCTTTGAAGCAAAGTAGGTCTTCATTCTCACAGGGCAGAAAAGTTCAGTGCTTGGTTCCTGCCCCTGCGCGATCCAGCAGAACATGCACTTGCTGTCGTGGTCCATAGGCACCAGGGACTCTGCAGTGACCGCTGATGGCTGCATGGGGGACCTCTTCGGCTTTGCAGATGCCGCTGTCTCCGGGTTGAGGTCCGGCTGAGCACTATGGAGACTTGGTTCCTTCGCCATCATACTGGCAGTCAAGGCTGCAACTCTTGATCATCGTTAACAAATGCTTCAAGTCCTCCTCACTTTCAGCAAGCAAGTTCTGTCATCTGCATATTGCAGGTTATTAATAAGCCTTCCTCCAATTCTGATGCCACATTCTTCTTCATATAATCTAGCTTTTCTGATGACTTGCTTAGCATGCACATGTAATAAGTAGGCTGACAGGACACAACCCTGATACACACACATTTTATGATTTTTAATCATACAGTATTATTTTTTTTCTGTTCACACAACTGCCTCTTGATCAGTGTACAAGTTTCACATGAGCAAGTTTCAGTGAGGTGTCTGGAATTCCCTTTCTTCTCAAGGCTATCTCTGGTTTGTTATCATCCACACAGTTGATTGCTCTGCATAGTCAATAGAACACAAGTAATCATCTTTCTGGTATTCTTTGCTTTCTTCCAAGGTTCATCACATATGAGCAATGATATCTCTTGTTACGCTTCCTCTTCTGAATCTGGCCTGAACCTCAGATAGCTCCTTGTCAATGTAGTGCTGCAACTGTTGTTGGATGATCTTCCCCCAAACTTTACTTTTATGTGATATCAATGATATTTTCCTAAAATTTGAGCATTCTGTTGGGTCATCTTTCTTCAGAAGGCTACAAACATGTGTCTCTTCCAGTCAATTGGTCAAATGGATGTCTTCCAAATTTCCTGGCATAGTTGAATAAGTGTATCCAGTGCTTCATGGGCTTGTTGGAAGATTTCAATTAGTATTCTATTAATTCTTAGAGTCTTGTCTTTGGTTAATGCTTTTAATGCAGTTAAAGTTCTTTGAGTGCCATTGGTTCTTGCTCATATGCTACCTCCTGAAATGGTGGAATGTCCACTAGTTCTTTTTGGTTCGGGTACTCTGTCTTCTTTTTATCCTCCTTTTATGTGTCTTGCATCATTCAGTATTGAAAAAGTCTTGAAGCATTTGTTAATGCCATGGCTCCTCCACAAAATCCAAATTTAAGAATATTTAAGAATTCTACCAATGTCTTCAGTCCAAAATTGATCAGATATGCAACCAATATGGACTCATGATTATCGGTGACTGGAATGCAAAAGTTGGAAACACAGAGGAAGGAACTAAACCCAAACCAAACTCATTGCCTTTGAGTCGATGTTGACTCATGGCGACTCTGTAACTGCCCCCTATGAGTTTCAGAGATGGTAACTTAACAGTAGTAGAAAATCCAATCTTTCTCCCATGAAGCCGCTGGTGGTTTCAATCAGTTGACTTTACAGAGCCCAACGAGTAACTATTACACCAATGAACAATATCATTGATATCACATGCAAGAAAAATGTTGCTGCAGATTATCCAACAATGGTTGCAGCAGTACATTGACAGGGCTCCTTTGGAAGTAATCAGAAAATATGGTCTTAAATATAGTGATATAAATAGGAAAGCCTTCTTGAAAATAACTTTTTTTTTCCTTCAACAGCACAAAGGGTAACTATTCATGTGGACTCCTCTATATGGAATGCCCAGACATCAAATTGATATTAGATATTCTAATAATGTGTTTATAGCAATAGAATCCAGTTCAGAGTCATGCGCTATTTTCAGTTGACAGATTGCTTCAGCTTTCTCATTCTGGTAAAGTTCCTGTTTTCTTCACTTTTGAGACGTGATTGTTTAAAGTGGCATACCAGCTGTTTAGTAGAATGCTTCCCAATTTCTGTCTGTCTTTTGGCTTCTCATATTTCTCAAGTTGTGCATCTTTGGCAGGAATGTTACAAAAGGGATATTGTAATCTCATTGCTTCCAATCTGGAGGCACATGGTCTTGATCTTGTCGATGGCTGATGATGCTCCCTGTGAACATTCGAGGAGGCTGTGTAGGCTTCTGCAACAGGACACTGTTCTCCCCTTTTGGCAAGTAGCATTTTGTGTGGAGAAAATTTGAGACTATAAAGCTGTGGTATCTTGTGAAACTTTTACTTTACACATTTGGACCCCTGACTTTGTAGCTAATGGGTTTATAATACATTGCTTTCATTATTTATTTTGATCCTCAAATTGTTCCAGTGAGATCAATAGGAACCCCTTCACATCTAAAGCCCAGAGTCATAACCCCTACTTCATATAACCCTTCTCTCTAGAAGTGTAACAAATTCCCTCAGCAGATGACACATTCTTCTATTATTAGCTTATCAGCAAAGGGTACTTTCTCACCACTGAAAACTTTTATTGATTTCCATCGCAGAAAACTTGGATGAATTAGCATAATGAGGCCCTACACCAAAGAATATCATTTTATTAGGACTCTGGCAACATTTGCTACTGAATATCCTTTACAGTACATACATTAAGGGATTTTAGAATTAATGTGTTCAGTCTCTGAGTCTTGGTACTTCTTAGCTATACTGCAGTCTCCTATGGAAGAGCCAGGCTTGAATTTATTACTTCCTGGCTTTGGAAGAATGCACAGTATTTGCATACATCTTTGCTCTCAGCTTCTCTAAACTACAACAATTACATGCTTATGAAACAGGAGAGTTAAGATATGAAAATAGTACTATTAACTGTTATTAGAAGAGAAGCAATGTACCCTTCTTCTCTCTGCATATTGTTTAGAGTATTAAATAAATATAAAATTCGTCTTATATATGTTTCATGTTATTTGGATGGAAGTGATATTGCGAGCGTTGAAATTTCGTAGTGAGTAAAATGTAACTTGCTTCCTAAAGTTTTATGGAAATCTTGATTCTTTCAGTTGATTCCCTACATAGTAGAGGTGTTCATAATAAAAATCCTTAGGGAAGACTTTTGAGGGAATGGGTGTTGTCTTGTCTGGGGGTGACGTGCTCAGGAGGATGAAACATTTGGTAGTATTACAAAAACTGGTCGACATCTGACTGATGTTCAGGTTGTCCTATCAACTTTTCCAGTTGTTACTTTATTCTTCCTTACTGCTTTCCCTCTGCTGTGGGCCAGGCTTTCATGCTCTGAGTGAGCATCAGAATCACTTGGAGGAGACTTTAAAACACAGATTAATGGGTTCATCCCAAGAATTTCTAATTCAGGGAGTGGAGGGTGAGGCCTGAGATTATGCATTTCTAACAAGGTTCCAGATGATGTTCATGCGCTGGTTTAGGCACCACAACTTGGTAGCTATTGCCAATGTGTCCTAGCTTAGGCAATGCACACCTAGGGGTCTCTGAAATGATTTAGGAGGGCTGCAAAATCAGATACTTATACATAATCTTAAATTGTGGTCTATATACAAAATTTTTTAATTGTCAAGGGAACACAGTAATTTTCTTTTTTTTTTTGTAATGGGGTAAGTAGGCCAAATAAGTTTGCAAATCTTACTTGCAAATTACGTGTTCTTAGAATTAATAATAATAATAATAATAATTATTATTATTATTTGTCATTGTCCCTTTATCTGTATACACCATCCACACCTATCAGAATCCAATGCTCTTTGTCCTTCACAGTTTATTTCTGCTTTTCTTCATCTGTAAAGCTTTTCCTAACCTTTATATTACTTCAACCTACTTCTAAGTCACCTGGGTCCATATTCTTCAAAACTCACATTACTGCTCTGATTATAAAATATACTTTCTTTATTAGCCAACAGACAATATGATTCTTGATGACAAAGGGCCTGATTTAATCTTATATATTTTTTAATCCTTTAAAATTGGTTTTCAAAGAGGCTACAGCAGATCTCTTAAATTAAGTCCAAGTATATATTTATGTTCATACATTGTGGTTCTTTCAACCCATTTGTAGAAAATCCAATTTTAACTATAGTTAGCCCACTATCAACCCTTCCCAAGCTTTTCTCTATTGGGGCTCATGCTTATATTTTGTCTATTATATTAAAAGGAACTTGTTCAGTGGTCTGTTTACCCCAAATCTCTTCTTTATAATCATGCTTAATCTTTTATAAAATAGTGACAGGACTGGAAACGGCTTTTCAATAATACAAATTTAATTAGAAACACTGGATGCTAAAGTGTGATTCTTCTGTAAGAGAAACTCTGTCCCATTCTTTGTGTCACAAGTTTCACCCATTCTTCAACCCCCCACTCTTTTTCGCAGCCCTTTCTCTCTGTCAGCCATTAGATTAGAGGCTAAATTCCCAGAGATTTTATTTCTCATGGTAACATGACTGTGAGCAGTCACACAAATGCCCAATTACTCGAGAAGTCTAATTAGCTGGTGAGTGCCTAAGGCATTTCTTTGGGAGGGCCGTTAGCAACCCCTCTCTGAAAGCTCTGTCTGTGTGTCACCTGCCTAGACATGGACAGAGTCCCGTGCTTTCCCCAAAGAGGGTAAACATGGGGTTTCCTTGGAGATGGATTTTCCCAGAGTTTCAATAATTGCTCTTTTACTACTCTCTTTCAGAGAGGCAAATTGCCAGGGTGTTGCATGGGTTAGCTTTTTGTTATCAAATAAGAAAGAATGTTTCACAGACTGTTCCTGTGGGAAAGTATTAGAAATAATATTTTTCAAATTCTGCTTGAAATTATGCACCTAGATGGAAACATATTTAAGGCAAGGAAAATACACATTTAATTTTGAAAATACCCACATTTTTCCCTTAAAGAAGTAAAGTGAATTGTTCAAAATTGTACCATAATTTATTTGAAAAAGGTTAAAACTATCTAGTAGTTTATCCCTTGCCCCTCAACAAATCATGGGAAATGGCATGTCTTTTTTCTTTAACTTGTTTACTCAAGTTAGTTTACTATAAATCAAAGTTCTATGAGTTGTGGCTTCATAAAACTTTCCCAGAATCTGGAAGTCCAATTTGCAGGATTGTAGATGCTTTTCCAGTATCAAAGGACAATTTCTATCCATATTCAGTCCAGCTATTTTTCTCTTAGTGTATCCTTCAAAGACTTAAATTTGGTAGATGGAAAAAATTAGCATAGTTTGGCCCTAGTATAATCTAAAAAGTTGTTTCATATGCTACATAGTGTTTGCTTACAAAACCATAATGAAAAACTT